GACGTCACAGTAGGTGCTGTCACTAGGCGAGAGGGGGAAGTGGATGACGTCACGGGGGCGGGAGGAAAATGATATCACAGTAGGTGCTGTCACTAGGCGAGAGAAATGACGTCACGGGGATGTGCGGAGAAATTACGTAGCATGGGATATGCGGAAAATTACGTCCGTGTCGTGGTGATGACGTCACGCGGGGTCAGTGGCTGCCGGGCGAGGTCCAACTCCAGACGCGGTCCATCGTCGGTCCCCGCCACCACCACCATCAGACGTGGTTCCCACTGAAGGCTATACTTACTATTAATACTTACCATTTTTCCTCTTATGTGTCATCTTATTCTTCTAGCACGCGGAATATTTTATTTATTTATTATGTTATATTATTGGGTGTGTGAATATGACTCCGCCCTTTTTTGTGAAAATAAAATACATTTGCTTGTTTAGAAAATGAAATAAGTATTTATTCAAAGTATGCTCTATCTGCAACTACAACCTTCGCCCAGCTTTCAGGCAATTTACGGATTCCTTGCATGAAGAAGTCCTGGTCTTTTGAGGCAATCCAATTATCAAGCCAAATTTTGATGCTTTCGTAAGAAGTAAATCGCTCTCCTGTAAGATCTGACTGCATCGTTCGGAATAAGTAGTAATCTGAAGGAGCTATGTCTGGCGAATATAGCGGGTGGGGTAGCACTTCCCAGTCCTGTTCATTTAAATATGTTTTCACGACTTTTGCAGTATGCGGTCTGGCGTTGTCATGTTGAAAAATTAATTTGCTATGCCTATTCACCCATTCTGGTCGTTTTTCTTTTGTAGCTTCAAACGCATTAGTTGTCGTCGATAAACATCGCCATATGATAGTATTAGACGGTTTCAGCAACTCATAGTGCACAACACCTTTCTGATCCCATCAAATACAGAGCACAACCTTGGTACAATAAATATTTTTCTTTGGCTGTAATGGGCCGACTTCACCTGACTCACCCAGGCTTTTTTGCGTTTTGGATTCTCATAATATATCCATTTTTCATCTCCAGTAATTATTCGATGCAAAAAACCTTTTCTTTCTTGTCTTTGAAGCAGCATTTCACAAACGGTTTTTCGACGTTCGATGTCTCTGTCTTTTAATTCATGTGGAACCCAGTTACTATTATAGCTTTTTGAACCATTCCTATTGCTCGCAAACGTTTTGCAACAGTTGATCGATCGACATTTAATGTTGCTGCCAATTCTGATTGTGTTTGACAACAATCTTCAGCCAATGATTCTTCCAATTCAGCGTCTTCAAATTTTTTGGGTGGATTTCCATGTTTTTCAAAATTATCGTTTTTAAACCGTCGAAACCATTCTTTGCAAGTTGTATTTGATGGAGCATGCTCACCGTAAATATCCACAAGCAAATGATAAGTTTCCGCTGCACTTTTCCTTGTGCAATAAAACTTCCCGCAAATGATGTTTATTTGGAATAAAACCCGACATTTTCAATGCGATAAAAATGCTTGTTGTTTACGCTTCAAACGTATGTCACACACTGCGTTTGACAACTGACACAAAGTACTATCGAATACAAGTATTGACATTTTAATGTACACGCGTAAGCAGTGACACTAACGAACCTATTGGAAAGGGCGGAGTCATATTCACACACCCAATATATTTTATTTTATTTTAACGATTCGAAGAGTGCGAACGCACTATGCAATAAGCGCGATTTGTCATGTGCGATATCGCGCGTAATGCGATACCACAGAAATAAGGTGGAAAGAAGGATGGAAAGAAGGAAGGAATAATTGTCACTAAGATATTTTTATTTAGTTTTCATGTAATGCATTTGTTACGTCCGGCGGACTCGTACGACTCTTTTCTTTCGTAGAGATCTGGAATTCGTCGAAACACAAAAATTTTATTTCCCTTCTCTTTTTCTGTACACTAAAAACTAAAACAAGGAATCCGATGTCTCCTCGTGAATGTCGCTCCGAGATAAACTAAATCAATAACAAATAAGAAACGGCACGCGACGTTCGGGGGTAGATGCTGGGTGGCAACGATGCATGGCGGCTTATCGGCGCACGAGACGTGCGTTTTCCCATAAACCTCGAGATCATAAAATTTTGGAAGACACCTTCCCATACTACAGATTCCTGTCAACATCCTTTTCTCCCCCAAAATCTTGATCAATCCAAGAACAAAGGAAAATCCTACTACCAGCTAACGAAATCTATTTCACCAAATTTGAGTAATCTGGAGCGATTATAAAAATCGCGGTTCCGCGGATCTCGGTGTCATTTTTTCCTTGAGTTTTGGGAGGCTACAGTTGTCGCGATATTTAAAAAGGCTTCATCCGATTTTCGAAGCCCTTTTTCTCCAGTAGGGTCAGTGTTAAAGAAACATCACCAGCCTTGCACATCCTGGCCGGAGGATCTCCAATGATAAGCATCTCAGTAGTAAGTATATCTCTATTTTCTGGCCCCCTTCTCGCTTTATCTTTTGGTAATTTATTTCAATATTTCATTTTATCTCTTTTATTATTCATTTGTTTTATTTTATTTTTATTCTTTTCTTTCTTTCTTTCTCCCTTTTATGTACAAGAAAATAGAAACATTGCAATCCGTTCACGTTATAATTCCAATTTGTCGCCGTCGTCTCACGATAATTGTTCGCTGCCTGTCGACCGGTCATTCGCTATCATCATCCGAGGAAAATTAGGCCAAACTCTCTCAAATCCACTCCACCAAAACCTCCTTCTCTTTTATCCTCTCACTATTCTCTCCGTAATTCTTCTATTTTGCCACGATACTTTACACATACACGCACACACACACACGCACGCACGCACACACACACATTTATAAAAGCGTATGTATAACTCAGAGTTGAGAACCAAAAATTGTATTACTTTTTAATTTACTCGACAAAATTGTATTTATTTTTTTTCAAAATGTATCACTCAAGTTTGTTTTTTTTATTATTATATCATTATTAAATTAACTTCTCAGTAATCTTTATTCAAATAAAACCTCTCCTCGTATTCTTAAGTTCTCCCGCGATTGCACTTCGCCCTCTCTCCGGTCACTTGGATTAAGTTCCATGATCGAAAGTCAGGGCATACGGCCGTACTGGCGCAGCTGGCGTTAAAGTACGCCCTCTCGGCGCACTGACCCAGTTTGGGTCCTTTAAACGTACGTCCGACTCGTGTATCCGTTTAGCGGAGCACGAACGAGGTTTCCACTTCGTCCTCCGTTCGACGGCTCGTTAAGAGCCTCAGGACGAAGCGAAGCGCCTCCCGATTTGCGTCAGTCCTTCCCCACGGCTCCCTTGCGGTCCGGAGCCTGGACACGACTAAATTGATCTAACAATTCGGTTCCTTGTTACGTTCACCCCCTTAGCTCCGCATGCGCGCGGAGCTTGAACGTAACACATTATATACAATGTTATTTACAGCGTACACTATCAATTTGTATTTAATATATGAATTCTTGTCATAAATCTTACACAAAATATTTATAACATCATATTTGTTATTTATACAGTTTTGATGTAAATAAGTCACGAAATATTTAAACTTTTTACTCACCATTCATGTATTGTCATAGTTCACAATATACGTGTTCTACACATTATTCAAATTCGAGCATAAAAAGCACAGTCGATGGTTTCATATATGAACACTTATTACATAATGATAATTTCACATTGTCCACATTGCGTAATTTGACAAGTTCAATTTGAAGCTCTTGAATCGTTAATGATGATGGAGTAGTCGACTGCACCAATCGCTCGATATCCGTC